CGTGCAAATGTTCGGTTCTGCGTTTTCAGTGTGCCGCCCGCCACTCCATGTTTATTTGCTTTGCTTTTTACCTGCTCTTCCAACAGCTGTGCCTCAAGGGAACGTCATCGCTCGACCTCACAGCACCCTTTATTTTATTATAGCATCCTTTACTTTTCACCTCCCCCTGGGTGAAACTCGACAGCTGTCCTTTTGTTTGTTTGTTCTCTCCTCCCTTGTGTACGCTCATGCACTCCCGCTTCCACCGTCACGGGCCACTGGCGTTTAGCGGCTACTTTCAAGGAGCCCCAACCAAATAGCGCGGTCCGCCATGAGAGAAACGGCGCTCTCCGCAGAACCCTCCACGGGGTTGTAGGCCTCCTGCACCCACGGAGTCTCGCCGCTGGTTTTCAGCATAGACGACCGCAGCTGATTGAACAGCTCTGTCGCTGGCTCCCCAAGCAGACCAATGTATTTCGTCCTCAGGGCATGCGCCATAAGAACGTTCGTGGAGATCCAGATGTGGCCCATCCAACGGTTGTCGTGGCGCAGCCCTGCATGGCGTGCCGCACGCACCGAGGCGTACGAAACTGACATCATGCCGTACTGAGTCATCAGCTCCGCCTTGGCAAGCTCAATAACCTTCAGTGCACGCTCCTTGTTGTCGAGGATCCCGAGAAGCAGGGGGTAGAGGTTGGCATACCCCACATACGGCGAAAAGGAGTCAGCAGAGCAGCCAGCACGATCGGCGTAGCGCTGGTGTCTCGCGTCCCAGTGCACCGCGTCCAACCAGCCCAGCCACAACCGCTTGGGAACCGTCTCAGGGAGTCCCAAATACAACTCGATATCACTAATAATTGAGCTCAGTAAGGCAACCCATGAAAAGAGATCAACATGTGCCCCAAGTCCGTGCTGACCAGGGCAAGCATGTCTGGGGTAGTCTTGCATGCCAGCCAGAATTACCCCCGCAGATTATTTTCAGAAGTGAAATTGAATGCCGAACTCTGTACCTCATACAACCCATCCACGCTTCTTGTGTCATCTCAGTCAATTCTTCAGTGTACCAACGCGGGTTTGCAACCGTGTGGTGATGCGGTGTTATCATGGTACTTATATATTCCGAGTACAGCCTCTTCGGCTTTGCAGATGATGTCTCATTTGGTGCTTCCATCCCATCATATCCCTCGTCCATACACCCATCACCCACGCATGATACCAGCAGACACCTAACTTCTTTCATTGCATGTGTGAACCTTATCCCATCGGATTGCTTCTCTACGACTTGCTTCATCCGCGGCACCCTTTGTACGGTAATGCATGCACGCCCACATTTCCCTTCCACTGAAGATCCTCAGCCTTGAAATGGAGCTGTTCTTGCGCGTGATCCAATGCCACACCCGTTAGTACGTATTCATT